GCAGGTTGTAGGGATTAATGAGTGGGGCTACATAAGCTACTGTTGCCGATTTGAGTATTTCGGGGTATTGAAATACTTAGCAAACATCGAATGTAAAAGCTCACCTATTATTCCTTAGTTTCGAAAAAGACATATAAGTTAATGCCTACGTCCCATTTAAAACTAAAGCTCATAATCGGAGAAGGCTAATCCGGAGGACCGGACATGCCGGGGCCGCCAGAGGAGAGCTTTCTGTCTTCTCCGGATGTCGCCTTTCTCCACTTTACCTACGGCTGGTTTCCCAGCACAATTAATAAAGTGCACAACAAATACAGCTCTCGTAACCCACATAAGCAACGCATGCTACGTCCCCTGTCACCTCCAATCGAAATTCCGCCGGTGAATTTTAGTTAGCCCGCAAGTGGTGCTTATATAGACGCGCATAATTTAGCATGACAGCGAAAGGTGCAAAGATCGGTATCAGACGTCTGGTCATGCAAATATTGCCCAAACAGTAGGTTTTAGCAAACCAAACGTGCATTAATTCGTTTATTTTGCTCTGTACTTTTTGGGTCGGATTTTATAAGTGTTTTTTTATAGATTTAATGCTTTGTAAAAAATTGAGTAGTCAGAAAATTAACATTTTTTTAAATAATACAACCACGTTGGTATGACAAGTATTTAACACATTGATAAAGCGCGCAGCAGTTTACATGATGGGCCAAAACGTATCCAGTGCGTAGCCAGGGGCTCGAGGAGTTAGTTCATACATATGAAGATGCAAAGATGACCAAAACGGACAATTAATCCACTGAAAATTCCTCAATACTACAATTATTCCCCCATTCCAACGACCGAAAATTTTAACAACTTGCTAAAATACCACTGTTTTAAATCGCCTTTAGATACGTACATTCCTTATCACTCATACAGGGACTGTCGGGTTCTGTCACCTTTTGTCCTATAAATGTGCTCGCATCGTGGAATCCGTTTTAGAAAGCTTAGTTGCATACAAATTGTAAAACGCATCGTAACACAA